ATTGAGCCCTAAACTCATAGGGAGCCCTATTTCAAATTTGGAAATTGTGTCCTATTTCAATTCCAAGATGACTTGAAACTTGGAATTTTATGGATGATAATCTAGATTTGGTGAAGATTAGTGAATTTCAGGCTAGGTTTAATTTTTCTAGCTTGAGTAGGTGATGGTTATATGCTATGTATATGCTTGATTTAGTGAGTTGTTGGCCTGAAATGCATGTGCTTGATTTGAAGCTATTTTGTGGTGAGAATAAAGCCTTGAAAATGGTTGAAAATTAGGAAAAATAAGGGGAAGTGCTACGTAAATTTTTTCCGCAGGAGACTTTGAGCAGTCTTGGGACATTTGTTATATCTTGGTGTAGAAAAATCTGAATTGAGTTCTGTTTCTTGCATTTGAAACTAGATTCAGAGTATTTTCTACCGTAAAAATTTTAGAATTTTTCTCAATTCTTATGAATATCTGTGATTTTCCAAATTTGATTGAATTCCCACACCTGTTCTATTTTTCTACCGGATGAAGCAGCAACTAGAGACTGGAATTTGACTAAATTGTGGACAAAATCTTACAAATGTGTCTTCTGGGAAATTGTAACCCTTTGAGTATATTTTCCAACGGCATAAATTTTATAAATTTTGGACTTAAGAGGCTTAAGATGTGATTTTTCAAATAGCATTGCGCAAAACTGGAGAAAATTTTGTTCTTCAAAAGCTGTTCTTGCTTTCATTTCCAAATTCAAGTTGGAGTTGTAGAACCATTTTGAGTTTGATTTTATAATTGGAGTTGAGATAACTTGGTTGGTTGGGAAGTGTTTTCCTTTGACTATGGTAGATTGGAGTAGTGGATCTTATGGTGCTTTACATACTTGATTTTAGGACTTAAAGGTGAGGCCGGAAGTGCTCCTGAGGCAAACACTTAAGCTTGTTGCCGTGGTGAGTGTTCCAACTATATGTTTCGTGCTCATTATTGCTAGAAATTGCTAGGCACATAATTTGTTGTTTCATAAGTAAGTGTGTACTTTATCGCACTTGATCTAACTCGACTAAACTTTTGATATCTTGTTCATGCATGTACCAGCAATTTGATTTATAAGTAACTTGTATCTTGACTTGAAATGCTTGAAAACATGATATACTGAACTTACTTGTGACTTGATCTTGTCTAGGCGAGTGTGCCTTTACGTGCACTCGACCTTCGTGAACTTGAAATAATTCATCTTGCGTGCGGATTTGCATGTTTATGTGTATGGTTGTAGACCTACTACATTCCTCTTACAGGGATGAGAACGTGAGAGTGGAATTTGGAAAAGGTCTCGATTTCATTTAAGGTTGTTAGTTGCTCACGTGAGCACTCCATAGATGTCTAGCTGGCTTGCTTGGTTTGATTTTTGCAAGTTTGACTCCTTGTCTATAGTCATAGGTTGTATGGGCATTGGAGGTCCATCAGTATACATATTGAAGGTTGTAATTGATATCGCTTTTATTATTGAGGTTGTTATTTGTAAATTTCATGATGCGTGACTGAGTCTTGACGAGAGCTAGGCAGGCGGTCCGCCAAACCCTTAGGTACACTCTAGGGGGAGGTGGGGTCGTCACAAATCACCTCAATCCGATACTTATAGCTCATGATATAGCCGAAATACCACAAGGTGTTAAAACTGGAAAACTTTCTTTAATTGCATTTCATCTCTTGCACTTCATATTCTCTTTTCATCACTTCAAACCATCATCAATCATTCAATTATCTTCTCAATTCATACCATTTGATGATTGAATCCTTAAACCTACCAAAACATGAAGTTTTCATCATTAAAATCAATAGAAATGCAATTTTTACCACTTAAACCATAAAATGCATATTTTCACTAGAAACTTAGTTAATTAGCTATAAAACTAATTAAAACGCTCCAAAACTAACTAATAAAATACACTAAAAACACGCAAAATAAGCACTTATCAGGAAGGTTGCAAATTTTTTCCCAAAAAGAATAGATGTGCTCCTCTAACACACTTATGGAGAAGGAAATAAATGTGCTAATTTTCTTGCAAATGTGGGAGTTAAATTCAACCATAGTTTGATTGATCTATAACCAGTTGCCTGATAGTGATCGTGCTTAATGTGTATGTCCCAATTTTTTTTTTGGGTAAATATTATACACCCATTCTACAAAAAAGTAAGACAATCTTTTTATAGTGTTGTCTTACTTAACAGTAGAGGTGTCAAAAAACAAAAAGTAGAAAAAACTGAATAAGTGGGTAATTAAGAAAATTGAATAGGTCCAATCGAAAAAAAGGTAGTGACTTGAAATTCTGTAATGCTTTGGACACTGACTGAACTGACATGAAAAAAAAAACAGTTTGGGGTATGATTATTGATTTTTAAAATTTGTGGTTACTCAAACCTAGTCACCTGTATATGCACATGTGTAAGGTTGGTTTTGTTAACCTAAGCTTGGAACCTTAACCATAAGTATTTAGTCATGTATTAGCAAATTAAATTAGGTGACCAATTATTACATTCATATTCTTTTCACTAGCTTAAAAACTTAACAAGTTAATCCTAACTCCCGTTTACCATTTTAAATCTTACACTTACCACCACTAATTCCATTAACTCTACTGCTGTCACTTTTTATGTCTCTTTTTACAATTTTTTTCTACGCTCATATAATTTGTGTTCTAGTTCTCTGTACTTATTTTTGTTTCTCAACTTTTAGAGCTTTCATAATTGATCATGGAGCAACCTGTTATTATTATTGAATAATGAATTGATGGTTTTATAAGTGTACAGAAAGGGAAAAAAAATGTTCGAAATGTGTTAGTGTTTTAATTATGTCATGTGTTTTGATTATGCATTTCATGTGTGGACTACTAGCATTCTAGGATTTAAAATTCTTTTTTAATTTTGGATAAAGTGGCGTATACGTTTTTCATGGATTAAATTAACTTGTATACTCTGATATTATATTAAACATTATTAATTAATCCCTTTAAATGAGAGTAGGATATTAAACATAAATTTGCTGAATCATACCTGTCGTTAGGGTTAACGAAATAGAGTAGGATATGAAATATAAATCAGTTTGTCTAATGGGTGCCCACGTTAAGATATATTTCAGTGTTATATTTTTTGAATTATAAGATTAATTAGAGAAAGTAAATAAACACAAGGAAGGGTAGGAAAGATTAAATAGAAAAGTATATAAATGCATGAAAGAATAATAATTGTTAGTATGTATATATATATATATAGATAAATAGTCCCTCCATCCCATTGAAAGTGTCATACTTTCCTTTTTGGTTTGTCCCAAAATATATGTCACATACTCAAAATAGAAAACAAAATTTCTTTTGTTTCAATTTTTACCCTTCAAGATTTCCTCATTCTTAACTTTTATTGGTGGGTCCCTTGATTTTCATCCGCTATTAACAAAAGTTGCAAGACATTCGTGAGATACACACAAGTTCTAAAGTGATGCGTGAATATCACTCTCGTTGGCAAATTGGACTTCTTGTAGGTAACTTTGGCCCCACATGTCATTTCTGTCTCCTTGACCATTAATGACCACACATTCTTGTTTCTAATAGTGATTTTGAAGTGGCAAAATCGGAAAACAATGCTGAAACTTAGTACTGCACATAAAAAGTTCAACTCCCAAAGCACGACAAAGTATTTGGGCCAGAGGGAGTAATAGATGTATTAACAAGGGCACTCGTTAGAAAAATCCAATATAAATTTGCTGAATCATAGCTACAGTTAGAATTAGTGAAATTGCAAATTATCGCAAATATTCAATAGTTTAAAACTAGAAGAAAATTCCCGAGTTCAAATACTACCACACGATCTCATACATCAATATCCTATTAATTTCACATAAAAATATCATGCCCTGTCCAAGTGTTTGGAAATTCCATTGTCAATGATTTTGTGTATCATACAAGTTTACAAAGATATCAACTACAAAATGGACAAAAACTGACCAAATTATTTGTTATGGGTATAATGCACTTTTCATCCCTAATGTTTAAGGTGTTAACCAATTTCGTCCCTAAAGTTTCATGCAAAATATATTTCATCCTTGTAATTTTATAATTTTAACTAATTTCATCTTTAAAGTTTCACACGAACACATTTCATCCTCAAAGTTTAATAGATTTGGCTAATTGAGGACAATTGATGGATTGTCAATGATTTTGAATAGAATATTGTCACTTGACCATAGGATGCCCATTAGTGAAAAAAAAATATTGAATCAACAAAAAAGTTAAAAATCTTTTCTTAATTCACTTTCTCATTTTAGTACAAAAAAAACCTAAGAAATTTTTAACCACCATTACTCTCTTCTTAATCACAATCAAACAAACAAAATGAAGTCGTGGAAGACAAACAACCCCACTATAACCAATTGGAAAAAAAATGCCGAACAACTCCATTACAACTAATTAGAGAAAAATATTAATGTGAAAGAAAGAATGGTTTGGATTGTCATTTATTTGCAAAATTTTGTTTTGCTGCTGTGTATTTTGCAATAACAGTTGCATCATGTACACGTTTTTCAATCATCTATTTATCTTTCAATCTATTTATTTTATCTCAAATACATCATATCATAGTTTTAAAAAACAAAAAGATAGTCTCATATCCAAAAACACTTGTTATTTCTGTAATTTAATCAATAACTAAATTAAGTATTAATAATACAATTACTAATAGGACGTGTGATGATATTATGCCAAAATTAGTTAACAATCATTTAATTGTCCTCAATTGGTAGAAATTATGAAACTATGGGGATGAAATGTGTTCTACATAAACTTTAGGGATAATATTGGTCAAAATTATAAAACTATGAGGATGAAATATGTTTGGAATGAAACTTCAGGAACGAAATTGGTTAACACCTTAAATATTGGGGATAAAAAGTGTATTTTTCCCTATTTGTTATGGTTCAGTTTTTGATGATTAACAGTATAATTTTGTTGGTCTATTAGTGACTCTATTAGCATTCCTGCCCAATAGTACTCCATTAACATTGTAGACATATGGCCGGCCAACCTTCGACCCATGGCAACTGACGCCCAGGCACGGCCCAAAGCTAATTAACCTAATTGAAGCCTAAACCCATCGCACAGCCTAAGCGAGAACCCGAACCTATTTGCTCTGGACGCCGGCCGACGAAAATGTTGATCGGAGCAGCTTTCTGCCAAGAGATGGCTAGACAGAAAACCATGATGACGGCGGGTGATGCATTTTCTTCTCCATTCTCCCAGCATATAGGAATGGCAAGGAACTTCAGTGTTTTGGCGGAGGAGAAGCGCTGTATGAAAGATCACAACCGCCGGTTAATGGCTGAGAAATTCGAAGTGAAGCGAAAGCTTTACAAAGCCCTCGTTAGAGATCCTGAACTTCCGAATGAGCTGAAGGAGAAGCACCGCTATAAGCTGGCCAAGTTGCCCAGAAACAGCTCCTTTACCCGGATTCGAAATCGTTGTATTCTCACTGGTCGCCCACGCGCCGTCTATCGGCTATTTCGGATGTCTCGTATTTGCTTCCGCGAATTAGCTTCGAGGGGTGCCTTGATGGGCATCAAGAAAGCTTCTTGGTAGAACCAAATTTATAGCCTTTATGTCAGTGGTGAGTTTTGTTGTATACTTCATTTCTTCTACTAGTTGAGAGTTTCTTGAATTTATAAGGTTCTTTCTTTTCTGTGAATTTCACTAAAGATCATACATATTGGGTGAATTTAAGCTTCAGTATTTCTCTTATGGACTATAGACATTTCCAGTTCTGGTTGCCCTAGCTTGCTATCGATTCGATTGCTTTCGAGTTAATAGTGTCATGAATGATGATGTTGTCTATTGAGGGTCCATATGTTTTTTTGTTGACCTGGCTTAGAACAAAGTTAGGAGGATCAGGGAAGCTGGAAATGCATCTGTGCTTGGTTTGTATGGCCTCATTTTTTCATTCCTCTAGTTATTTTGATTGCACAAATAGCAGATTATGGTGATAGTTCTTTATGTTTTATGGACATTATTGGTGATGGAGAAACCTTTCCCATTCCAGGTAGAGAAATCCCTGTCTGTGTAGTAGATTTTAGATACTTGTTATTAGAAATTTAGATATTTGGGAAATTATAAGCCCATAAATTAGATGAACAAGAAGTTCATCATTGTAGAATACACTGGCTTAAACATTTCCACTCATTGAACATCTAGTACTTCCACTAGGTAATGTTTGATCAAGTTCCATTATAAGCTTTAGTGTCCAAATCAAGACCTTGTAACAATGGGCATCATGAAAACGCATCATTTACTGACCATTTTCCTCAGATTCAGTCTCACTCTGGTACTTGATACACACAGTTGCTCTTGCATTATCACTTATGGACCCATGATCAGCTAAAAGAGCACATCGAGCTTCAAATATCTTCCAGTATGGCAGCAAAACATTCAGGATATGCACTGCTAGAATTCAGAATAAAATGAACTTCCTTGATATCTCCACATTCAGACTGCCCGAGAACTGCCACAAGTAGTCTTGTTTGCCTCTGGCTTTCAACTGACCTCTAGAGATTCAAAAGTTTTTCGCATCAGTCTGACAGTAACTGTTAACTTTTAAGAATTTTTCCAAATAAAATTTGAATCTGTGATGTTAATTGTAAATTTTAACCATCACTAACCTTTTAAGAAATGTTTATAATGTAGGACACATATTTGCAACTTAGTGATGTTGCTAGTAGGTTAACAAAAATAATATAGCTTAATTGGTGCTTACAGCTTTCCTGGGTATCCTTTTCGGAACTGAGGCAACAAAGATGATACATAGTCGCTCATAATCTTTTACAATGAGTTTCTGCACTCTTTCTAGGCCCATATGCTCTTTTGCACGGTTAGGGGCTTATTCCTGTAGGAGGCAAAAGGCAAAGAGGGATTTATATTTTATCTATCTGATTGCTTTCATGTCGCTGTCATAATGATGATATTATTTTCTATTGAGGGTCCATCATTGGTTTGTTTGGCCTGGATACAGAGTGAGGAGGCTGAGGGAAGCTGGATTTGCATCTGTGCTCTATAATGGTGGAGCAATACGCATACCACACCAATGTGTTTAGTATTAGTAGACTTCTCAACCATTTTAGAATTGTAGAAGAATTATCATCTTCAGAAGTAGTTTTTGGCTTTTCATTGTTCGATTTTAAACAGAATTAGTCAGCTGAGACAACATTGAACTGATCATGGTATGATTACATGCCCACTGTTTCACGATTCGGAAGCTCAAAATTTCAGGAATGGATTGAACGGTTGAGCCTTTTCTTCTTTTGTCTGTCTGTCTGTCTGTCTCTCACTGGATAGATGTAACCGAAAGTTACCCTCATTCCTTGAATGGTTTGTTACGCTCCATCCCTCAGTAAAGCGGGTGGCTTCAGCAACGAAGAATATTACTGAGCTTAAGGGACTTGTATTTGTGCTAGTTGACAGTTGGTGATGCCTATATTTGTTTGAATTGGTTTCTGCTGCAACGGTGTTGCCAAATATTAGAAGCTCCTTAAAGAGAGAGTTTTAAGCAAGCGTTTTTTGGAATTCTTATCCGGATAATGTTTCAGCTTAAGTAGATATCCTTGATTGATACTCTTGCACATGAAATTCCATCCTGACTATGTACTTTTCACTGATTGGGGCTTTTGAACTTTCAGAATTAAAAAGTCTTTTGAATTCTCAATTTCATTAGCCTGATGGGTTTGAAATTTTATGTATAGTTACTAGATGTCCACGGCGAGACTAGCAGTGCATTTAGCTCTTTTGCTAATTTTTTTCGTCTTTTCTTTTTGCCACTGGATGGATATTTCTTTCTAAATATTGGCAACAATATATCCTACCATCAGTTATGTGTCCTTGGCTGATACTCTTGCACATGAAATGCCATGCTGACTATTTACTGTTTATTGATTAAGGCTTTTGAACTTTCAGATTTGAAAGATTCAATTCTCAATTTCATTAGCCTGATAGGTTAAAAATTGTATTGCAGAGTACTTTTCATGGTGTGTGTGAGACTGTTTGCTATAGTTTATCCTCCTTTTGCATGAGGTTTACTGTTTTTGAAATTTTGGTTCTTTGCCAACTGTTATTAGTATTATAATTTTTTGTTTAAGCTAATCACTGTTCTTTTACTGATTTAGTGTTCATGTAATGAAGCCAGGCTTGCTTAACTAAAAAGTGCTGTTGCTTACAACTGATCAGTTAACAGTTCCTTGACAATGCTTCAAGGAATTGGAAGGTTACTGACATTGTCTACTATGTATATTTTCTTGGGTTTTACTGCTGCAGTTCTTCATTTGGTTTACCTATTGCTACTTATATGTCCATGGTGAAAACTGGCAGGGGATATAGCTATTTTTCTTATTTTTCCTACTCTTTCCTTGTTGCCACTTTACCCGATGCATATTTCTTTCTGAATATTAGTTACAGTATATCTTATTATCACTAGTTTTGTTTTGCATTTTTTACTAGTCTGGAGATGAAGGTGTACATGAAGCATAATACTTTTTGTGAAGTTCCAACCAATTATTTTCATGTTATTGATATTTTCACATGAATAAGTAGTGCTTATCAGTCCCTATAGAAGTTAAAGCCGATACATGTTTTTGTTTATAATTAGATTTAAGATAGACATATCAATCAACTTTCATAGGAAAAATGAGAAAAACAGTCAAAGAGTACTTGAGCAAATAAGGATTTACTGATTTTTGAAATTGTGCAATCACACACTTCTGTGCATACAAGGTATATATGTTCTATGGCTTAGCAATGATGGTAAGCACCTTGCTTTTAACGGGATGCTCTTATAGGTTTCCAATTACTTTAAATACTCTACATGAGTACTTTAATCATGCTTCCAGAAAAAGGGACCTTATGTAGGAGATATGGGGGTTCATCTTTGAAGTGAGTAGATGAACGTAAAGACAAATTGCAATGTGACAACAAATTGAAAGAAACCTTGGTTTTTCTACTCTTTATTATGCTTCATTTAAAAAATTTGGGTTTTTGTTTGTTCTTTTGCTTACTAGACTCCTAAACAATGCCAATGTTGCTTTCAGTTGCTATATGAAACAAGAGTCTGAACTGGAATGTCAAAATCTCTCTACAGAGATGGGAGTTGTGGCACGTCTTTTTGGAAGATAATGAGCAGCTTCAATCATTTCGGCTTGGGATATTTTGTTGCAATTGAATGTCCATCCTGTCTATGTATAATGCTTTTCGAGATTCTTGGGTTGTAATCAGGAGACTGGATCAGATTTTTCTCTGCTTTCTTATTTGCCATAGTATCAAGCTGCTGCTATATTTTCTTGGGTTATGTATCCTTGTTAAAATTCTTATCTTGTGATTACAATGCTGCTCCTTGGTTAAACTTTCAGCAATTTTTTTGTTTTATTTCTTGGGTTCCCCCCGGGGGGTTGGGGGGTGGGGGGAGGGGAGGGGTTAATTGTACTCCATGTTAGGTTTAATTCTCGTTTCGTATGTTGTATTGAGTTCCAAAATCTGGATGTTTTTTCTTCTTGTTGTTATGCGAGCTAGCCTTGTATTTGAATGTAAGCTTCTGAAGCTACGTAGCAAAGAGATGTCGCATAACCTGAATCTTCAAACATATCTCTCCTATCAACGAGAACAGAAGCTCATGTATGATGCACAGTATTGATGGTTGAACAAACAAAACATGTTCACAGCATAGTATTCCCCCTTAAAATTTTCAAGGAAAATGAGACCATGCAACAAGGATGTGTATTATAATTAAAACTAATATTGGACATATATCATGAGTTGTCTTGCAAAAGAAAAAATACAAAAAATAAGTTCAAACTACCCGGGGGAAAAGCGCTTTGATTGTAACTCTGAAATTACGTGTCGATGATGGTCGATTGAGAACAAGAAATAGTACATAGGCAAAAAATAACACAAGAAATAGTATATATGCCAAAAATAACACGTATCAACTCGTTTAACCTTTTGGTGGCCGATTTTTCCTTTAGAGAAGACTTTTCATCAAATCTGGTGTGGCATTGTGGCATTTGTTTATCCCTCCCGAAATTGCTTGCACAAATGAAAGTTGCTACCACTGTAACGCCCCCTGTCCCGTTGAAAACTAAGTCCAAGAGTTCCATCATCGCTGTCAGTTATATTCTGCAATTTTGAAACTTGAGGGTCAGTGAAAGATCATTTTTAAGAACTTCCAAGCAGCAACAAAAGTTGGCTAGCCTCGATGATAGGTTTCAGCGATCCGCATATCTCTGTTGTTGAAACTTACCTGAATCGTCTAAAGGTGCAACTTGAACATCATAGAAGAAAATTCTGGAAGAACGGGAAAGTGGGAGCTTTAACGAAAGCAAAACAATTCTTTTGTTTGAAACCATTAGTGCAGCTATTACCTCGGGTTCACTACTCACTGATCACAAAGATCAATAGCTTTGAAGTGGAGTTCAGATTTCTTGCTACTTTTGTGAGGCATGTTACCATGAGGACTGATGCCACTAAGGTAACGCAGGATTTGGAGTCTTTTGACTTGATAATCAAAGTTGCAATGCAAGATATTGGAACGGATCTAGAGAGAGCATTTGAAGAAGAATATGTTCTATTATGTCCCTTTTAAGTTGATTGCCTTAGTTTCTAGCTCCCTGGAGAAAATCAAGGTTCTCAAGTCAGAAATCAGAGAAGCTTATGATCATGATCACTATCTGTCAAGCCATTCACTCAGTCAATCTCTCCGTTACACAAAGTGGGTCAATGGGAGATGTTTGTGACATCTATATCCAACAATCTACAGGTTTTGACTAAAAAACTTGCTAAAGTTTATCCTCTGACGGCACAATTTGAAACCTTAAAGGATCGGTTGTCAAGATTCTTATGTTTCATTGAGGATTTGTACTGTTATTTGCCCGAAATAGAGTCAAGAATGGAAGACAATCTGCAGGTTTTGACTAGAAACTTGCCAGAGTTTATCCTCCGACGGCACAATTTGAAGCCTTAAAGGATCAGTTGTCAAGATTCTTATGTTTCACTGAGGATTTGTACTGTTATTTGCCGAAATAGAATCAAGAATGGAAGATCTCTTCATTTGTGTTGGAGATGTTGCAATCCAGACAGCGCATAAGTGTTGTTTGTGTTGGTTCAGAGAAGAAATCGATTCCAACATGGCAACAAAGGTTTCTGCGATCATTTCTGATTTGCAGCAGAAGGTAGATCTAACTGCTCCAGAGTTTCTAGACGTGAACCTGCAGTTCCTCAAAACTGTAAGGAGCGATACCTATTGCACAAGATACGCATTTCTGGTATCTGGCTTTGTCAAGTATCTGCTTGGTGGGACAAAGCTAGACGTTCTTTACAGGGAGCTAATATTCTTAGTGTCCATTGTCACCATTAATAAAAGACAATTGTCTGAAGAGGATGTTAAGAGTGTCTTGCCCGATATTAAATTAACTATCCTCCTAGAGGGAGTTTTGAAGTGCATGTTGGACTGAGAAATGGATACTGACCTTGTGCTTATGAAATTGCTTGCGAATAAGGGTGGATGTTTTCCTTATGGAGCAATTAAATGGTGGTGCTGACCTCATCCTTGAGATTGACAAATATAGGGACCTTGATGAGAAGGTGAGTTTCTTGTGAATATTTTAAAGCTCTGCCACAAGGTGTGAGCAAAAAATAAGGTGATCAACCGAGATTTCAATTTCTTGAGGAGGTTAACAATCCAGTAATATCTCTCACTCTCTCCATGACAGGGAAGTAACAAAATCCAGGGCAAGTGATGTGTTTTTTATGTTGATTTTGAAGATTTTGCTTTTCAAGGCGGAGTCATCAATTGTGGCATTGCTTCGTATTAATGCAAGTTCACTGCACCTTGAGACAGATCGCATCAGAGCCCTTCATGAAGATTTAAGATTCTTCACAACTCTAGTCACACATCAGCTAAAGGAGAACACAGAGAAGGACAAATTAATCTTCACACGCATTTTTTCAGTGTCTATTGGGGTAATATCTATTTACAACCCAATTCTTGACATTATAATCACAAAAGATATGGTCTTCAAAGTTAGTTTTTGCTTTCTTATTTGCTTGATGAAATTAAGCTTAAGAAGGCAGACCTCAATGAGATTTATCACCAATTCCCAAGGCATAATTTTCCAAAAAATAATGCACTAGGATTCATTGATTTTCTCTAGAATAGAGAAAGCAAAAAGAGACGCTGAAGCATAATCCTAAATCAATTGCACCTATAAAGCATCTGTTTCAAACAATAATAGGGGATCTAAAGTTCTTTAGTTCTTTCCTAAGGGATGTTGGCAGGACATTAAGAACCAAGAAGTCAAAGATCTCAGTACACATATTACAAATTTAGCTTATGAGGTCGAATATGTAATTGACTTGATTGTGGCTGGAAGTATGTGGTATGATTTCTCAAGGTTTTATTATATCGCAGAAGAAATCAAACTTCTAAGGATTCAGAGCAGAGAAATATGTGAGAAGGCCACTGATCTCAAAGTTTCCAAGGCTTCCAAGCTTGATGGTAGCCTACATATTTGTTGGGTGTGGGCCAGCTCATTTGTGAGCCAAACCACTTATACAACACTAGACGTTTCTCAAGTTTAAATAGAAAGCAAGCAGCAGCCGCAGGTAGCAATTCTCAATTTCCTTCAGTCCTCGGGCGAGAGAAAAAGGAGACAGCCGCCACTTTGAGAGAAATACGAAGAGAGAGAAAGAGCTAGTGAAAGATAAACTTCAAAGTCTTGATTGAAGGGTGATTCGGAACCCGATTGAGACGAAATTTTACCCACGCGATCCTCTCGTCAGGCTCTACTTATCTACCGATTCAGATTTCGGATTTGCTTTTCGTTTGGTAACACCTTTCCAAACCCACTTCTTTGACAGTTGTAGTTTTGGGGGGTGATTTTATAGCAGATTTGCTTGGTTGATATTGGTGCTATTATTATCATCCGAATATTTCGAATAGACCTGTGTATTTCCATTATTATCATAGTAGAGATATTTTTGACTGGACTACGTCCCGTGGTTTTTCCCAATTTGAATTTTTCACGTAAAAATCTTGGTGTCTTGTGCCTTTTATTTTTCCTTGCATTTTATTATCACTATTGGTGTTATTACTTGGTAATTTGGTTTATTCCTATTTTTAACTGGTACTTGGGGAAAGAGAAATTTGTCCTGGACTAACTCTGATATTGTGTGTCTGTATTGGTACCCCTTTTCCAACAGGTGGTATCAGAGCAGTCAGGTTAGGCTGCTCATTTGTACTGGTTAAAAATGGATGATTCGGATAGTGGTTGCATGATAAAATTGAATGCCACTAATTATTCAATTTGGAAGCATAGAATGGAAGACTACTTGTATTGTAGAGATTTGTTTGAACCTATTCTGGGGGATAAAGGTAAACCAAGTGATATGAGTGATGAAAAATGAGCTAATATGCACAGGAAAACTGTTCGTAATATTAGAAAATGGATTGGTCAAAGTATTTTTCAACATTTTGCTAATGACACCAGAGCTGATATATTATGGAAAAAGCTTGAGAGTATGTATGAAAGGAAGACCGGTTTGAACAAAGCTAGTTGTCTAAAACAGATTACTCAGATGAGATATAAGGATGGGGAAGATATGACTGAACACCTGAGTAATTTTCAGGGATTGATAAATCAGGTAACTACATTAAATTTGAATCTGGATGATGAAGTGCAGGCTTTATTATTATTCAGTTCACTACCGGATAGTTGGGAAACCATGGTGGTCTCCATCAGTAATTCAGCTCCGAATGGTGTGCTAACTATGGCTATTGCAAAAGAAGCCGTGATGAATGAAGAGTTCAGAAGGAAGGAACAAGAAATTATCTATGAGTCTCAGACCCTGGTGACAGAAAAGAAAGAAAGAAGAGGGAGAAGCAAAAGTAGAGGACCCCACAACAGGAATGACAAATCCAGAGGCAGGTCTGAGTCACGAAAAATGTTGCATGCTATTATTGTAAAAAGAATGGACATTATATGAAAGAATGCAGAATCCTAAAACGGGAACAATCTGAGAAAAAGGGTAAGGCGAACGAAAAAGGTGATGAAGAGATTACAGCAGTTGTGGCAGATCATGATGATATGTTTGTGTTCTGTGATAATGGTCAGGTGAATATTATTCATTATGACATTGATTAGGTAGTTTATTCAGGTGCATCCTATCATGTTACTCCTCACAGGCATTTCTTCTCAACCTACACTGAAGGAGATTTCGGATGTGTTAGGATGTGAAATGAGGTCTCATGCAAAATTATTGGCATGGGAGACATATACTTGGACACAGATACCGGGTGCCAGCTGATATTGAGAAATGTTCGACATCTTCCTGATATTCGACATAACCTTATTTCTACAGGAAAACTTGACG